CTAAGCTCCTTAGCTGCATATGTAGGGAACCTCTAATTTTATGTGCTGTGGGAATCCAGCTAGACTAAGAGTTTAAAATGCTGTATGTTTTTCCTCTTATTCAATTTCAATGTTTTTTGTGGCAGCCTTTATACATCCATGAGTTGTGATAAACACATAAAGATGTGACACAAAGATTTCAATGGCATTTTTTCTATTATATTTAAAGAAACACAAATATCTGTGTACAATATTCAGTGTCAAATTGGCTATGGAAATTAATCTGTTAATCAATTCTATAAAATTATAAATTTCATTTATAAAGATTTGCATGCATATTTTTTTCTGCTATTCTCACATGCAGAATCACAAAATGGTATCCATAAGTTACATATGGGCAGAAAAAAACTTACATGGGTAGGTTAATCACATTGAGGTCCCGTTTTTCAGCGTGACATCCCCATGAAACCCAATTCCTTGATCAATTTATCTTCATCTAAGTTGCTGAATTACTTCGATTTTTTTTTTTTTTACTTTGGATTTTTTTAAATAACCAATGTTGTTTTTGTTGTTGTTATGTGCCACAAGTCAGACCCAACTCATAGTGACCCCTTCTTGGGTTTCCAACACAGTATCACTAAGGGAGTAGATTGCCCAACCTTCCTTCGAGGAGGGGCTGGTGCGTTTGAACCGCCAGCCTGCTGGTTAGCAGTCAAGTGCCTTAGGTACTATGTTACCAGAGCTCCCTAAATAATCAATAGAACCAATATACACATTGAATTTTCCTCATGGTGCTTACCTATTATTTCCTTGGAAGAGCTCCTAATTGACTTTAGCAGGCTATGGTCTTATGTCCTTGACTTTAAAGGAGTCCTTTTTTTTTTAATGAATTATTTTTGAAAGCAGTTAAATTAAGTTTAATGTTTTATTAAATGATAAGATAAAGATAATTCTCCACACAAAGGAATCTATTTTGACATACAGCTCAATTTTTATTATAAATTAAAATATGTCTGTTACTTTTTGAAACCATTCTTTATCAGTGGCAGAGTGAAGTCTGTTTAATACATTGACTTCAGACTAACTTGACATAAAAATGCAAATAATTATTCTTGGATGTTACTTTTTTGATAGATAATGTGAACAAAAACAAATAGATTATCAAAAAAACAAAGTGGCTTGACTAATGGCATGCATTTTAAGGATGAATAATACTGTACATGTTAATAATTCTTATGTTTTTATTACAAATGTGAATTCAATAAACAAAGATATTTATTTAAAATGTGTGTTTTGGAAATAATTTCATAATGAAGGTTAGCACAGAATTTATCTATAGACAATTGGAAAACTATGTAGGAAATTGGCAAGAGCCACAATGTCTCTGTATCTTCAGTCTAATGCAACATTTTCTTTGAAATTGAACAAATAGAAATAAATGAGAAAAAACACAAAAATAAAATGGAGTTGGCAAAGACAATGATATATGATACTGGAGGCTTTGTATCAATTTGCCCATGACAGTTACATGGTTTATTAAAAGGCCAGAGAATTCATTCCCTTTGTCCTCTAATTTAAAAAAAAAATTTATGGACCATCATATCAACTATTGGCATAACGCCCAAGGCATTTGACTGCTAACCAAAAGGCTGGTGGTTCACACCCACCAGCCACTCCTCAGAAGGAAGATTGGCCAATCTACTACTCTAGTGATAATTCCTTGGAAACCCAAGGAGGGGTCACTATGAGTTCGATCCCACTCTACGGCAGTGAGTTTGTTTCTTTTAATATCAACAATTAACGTGTTTCTTAAAGAGTTCTCAGGCTATCATGGGAAAGAGTTCAGTTTCAAATTGAAATCATATTCATTGAGTGCCTAGTAGACTCCAGTCATGGTGCCCGGTGTTTTTATGAATCATTTCCTGTTTGAGATGTGAGATGAAGTGAATGTTAAATGCAATGTGGTAAATGGCAGAGAGTAGTACAAGGCACTTTACAAGGGCACATGTAGCTTCTATCTAGGAAAATCATGGAAGACTCCAAGGCAAAGGTAAACTTTATGTTGTTCTTTAGTAAAATAGTTTTATCACTTTGAGTTGGAATTTGAGAATTATTACAAAGCAGCGATATTATGATTTTCTTTATTTCTGAATGGTAAGATATATAGTTTGAATACAAAAATAATTCATATTATGTTAATAGAGAGGGCTAGAGTTTAGTGAAGTGATTTGTAAATTAATGGTCTCTACTGTTTATACAAAAAAAGAAAAAATAAAAAACCCTCCAAACTCACTGCTGTCAAGTCATTTTGACTCATAGGGACCCCTCCTTGGGTTTCCAAGGTGGTATCTCTACAGAAGTAAATTGGCCAGAAATCTTTCTAAGGAGAGGCTGGTGGGTTTGAACTCCCAGCCTTCTGGTTAGCAGTCAAATAGTTGATTTAAAATAAAAATCAAAACTAAGTAGTTCAACAACAAAAAATCTTGTTTCAATCTGTCCTATTGACATGTCAAATTGTTCTTCTAATACAATTTATTCAAATCCAAACACAAGAACCATACATGTCAGTAGATTCTTAACAGCATTATATGAAGTTTGCAACAACAAAAGAGAAAAGAGTTTGAAAGCATAGTTTGGATAATTTTGTGTTATTACTCTCAAAATAAAGTTTTAAAGTAATATTTCATACCTTCTTCCATAAAATAAAGAACAGGGAGCTTTGGTAGCATAGTGCCTAAGGCACTTGACTGCTAACCAGAAGGCTGGTGGTTCAAATCCACCAGCCACTCCTCGGAAAGAAGATGGGAAAATCTACTTCCATACTAATACTGCCTTGGAAACCCAAGGAGGGGTCACTATGAGTCAGGTCTGACTTGACGGCACATAACAACAGCAGTGGCTCTGGAAAATATATGCCATAATAACTAAATAATTACTCCTGGTCTTGTATTTTTTGTTTTGCTTTGTAAATTTATCTTTTTAACGTGGAACATGAAATGTAACAAGAAGATAAAGCTTGGTAATTGAAGTGACATAAAACCCTTGTAAGCCACTAAGATTATGAAGTGACAGGAACTGGGGACCAGTGTGACTATTAAACCTTGATTGACAATGCCGAAGAAAATGGGATTCATCCCAACTATATCAAAGCAAATTGAGAATCCTGGTGCTACGTGTTTCAATACTGACATCAGAGCAATTCTGCTAATCCATTTTCAGCATGTGTTGTTGTTGTTGTT